ACTACTAGAAAGAGCAGTGCGGACAGGCGACTCAGGACGAGACTCAGGCGACGCAGGACGAGACGCAGGCTCACGCCGCTCAGTAAGACCTCCAGTCGGACCAGTGTAAGGAGCAGGACCAGGGAGAAAGGAGGCAGACGGTAACGCCGACTGCAGCTGGACAGGCGGAGGACACGCTAAGGAGGGAGGAGGAAAAGGAGGAGGAAGCTGACCAAGAACCTGCTGAAGGAGCGGAACAAAGTACGGCCGAGACCGAGCAGCGACACCAGAGCCAGCAGGGACACCCGCACCAGGATCCGCAGCACCAGCAGCAGCTCCAGCGCCCACGTCCTCAGCACCAGCGGCAGCTCCAACGCCCGGGTCCTCAGCACCAGTAGCAGCTCCAACGCCCGGGTCCGCAGCACCAGCGGCAGCTCCAACGCCTGGGTCCTCAACACCAGCAGCAACTCCAACGCCCGGGTCCTCAGCACCAGCAGCGGCTCCAACGCCCGGGTCCTCAGCACCAGTAGCAGCTCCAACGCCCGGGTCCTCAGCACCAGCGGCAGCTCCAACGCCTGGGTCCTCATCACCAACAGCAGCTCCAACGCCCGGGTCCTCAGCACCAGCAGCAGCTCCAACGCCCGGGTCCTCAGCACCAGCAGCAGCTCCAACAGCAGCGGGGTCCGTAACACGGGGCACGCCACTCGTACCACTCACGGATCCGCTCGCGGGAGGGGAGCTTCCGAACGGGAGAAGAAGCACTAGCACCAGTCCCAGTAGTACGTCCGGCTCGAGCAGTACCTCTCCGGAGGCTGCAGTACTCTAAGTACCACGCACGCAGCTGCTCCGAGGAGAGGGCTCCTCCAGGTGCAGGACTCCCAGGCCTAGTACCTCCAGACTCAGAACCCCCAGACTCCGGACTCCGCAGCTCAGCACCACGAGGCTACACACCCCCAAGCTCAGCACCCTCAAGCTCCACACCCCCAGGCTCCACACCCCCGGGCTCCACACCCCCAGGCTCCACACCCCCAGGCTCCACACCCCCAGGCTCAGCACCCCCAGGCTCAGCACCCCCAACAGCTACCTCAACAGGCTCAACCGGGTCTACCTGAGACACACCTGAGGGAGCGGCACCCTGAGGGGGGAGGGGGTCTGCAACAGCAGCACCTGGCGCGAGGAAGAGAGGCGGGGGGGGGAGCGGGGCAGTGCGGTAGGGGAAGAGGCGGTAGTAGGGGACGGACTCGTCAAAAGTGACGTCCTGGGAGGGCAAGACTCGGCGCGAGGTGGCGTGGTAAAACTGCCAAGCAGACGCGTCCGGGACAAAGCCGAGGAAGACGCAGGGAACACCACGGGAGGAGAGCTTGTCCGCAGACGAATCGCGGACAAAAGCTCGAGACCCCCAGACCCGGAAACGCGACGCATCGCCAACCTCCCCTGTCCACAACAGCGTGGGCGAGGTCTCCGGCAAGGAGACACGGGGCCAGAGGTTGAGCTGATGCGCAGCGTACCGGGCCGCAAACGGCCACAGAAAGTGGGGGGCAGCCGCATGGATCAAGGAGGTACGGGCGACCTCCATGACCAGGCCAATGCGGCGCTCCGCAACCCCATTCTGCTGTGGAGAAGCCGGAAGCGTGAACGACTGCTCAATGCCGTGCTCAGCACAGTAGGCTGCCAAGAGGTCGGAGGAGAACTCACCACCTCTGTCAGAGTGCAAGCGCAGGACAGGAAAGTCCGAGTGAAAACGCTCGCTGAGCTGGAGACGGGCTCTACGGATCCAAGGGATCAAGACATCAGGGACCTCACCCTTGGTGCGCAAGGGGAAGACCGAGGTGTAGCGCGAGTAGTCGTCAACAACTATCAGGAAGTACCTCTCTTGACCCTGACCACGGACGCGGGCTGGGCCCCACACGTCCATGTGGAGTGTCTGCAAGGGAGCAGTCGTCGGGGGGAACGAGGAGGAGTGAGGAGCGGCGCGCTGCCGTCCCTCGACACAGGGGAGACAGGTAGGAGAAGGCGAGGGTGGGAGGGGAGGAAGGACCCTGGGCAGGCCAGAGACAAGGTACCGGGAGTGCATGGCACGAAGCCGCTGCACAGACGGGTGGCCAAGGCGGTGGTGCCAGAGGACAGTCTCGTGTGCCAAAGAGCGACACGAGTAGGGGGCGGACAGCTGACCTGACACGGACGCGGACGCAGTCGCAGCAACCTGAGGGGACTCAGTAGTCAGTGTGTACAGGTCCGACCCCGGCTGCCGAGTGAAGGTAGCCAAGTGACGGCCCGTACGAGCACACGTGCAGTGTGTCACACGCTCGTAGGCAGGGGTGAACTGGTGAACACCCCCGTCCTGGAGTGCACATCCTGCCACCAAGTTCGTGGAGAACGAGGGGAGGTGGAGACCTGACAGTGTGCCCGACGGGACTGCAGGGCAGGGAAGAACAGTGGAAGAGGTCGCAATGACCGGACCCCCAGAGGGGTCAGCAAGGGAGACAGCAACTGGCCGAGCAAGCGTCTCAAGGGCAGTGCGGTCACGAAAGAAGCAGCGAGAAGCACCTGAGTCCAGTGTGAAGGTGTGCAGTGCGGCAGTCGACGCAGTACCAAGGGGGGGAGAAACACAAGCACCTAGAGCAGCAGCCTCACCAGCACCTGGGGTAGCCGACACGCGAGTACCTGGAGCGGCAGACGCACTGGCCCTAATGCCCGGGTCGGGCGGCACACACAAGTACTCAGCACCCTCTCCACTAGTAGACATCACATACATGGCAGATAGAATAGCATCAAAGTCTAGAGCATAGATATCAATCCCCTTCTTCAGGAGATCAAGCCAGCGGGGCAGCTCAGTGGCCTGAGGGAACTGAACACACCAAGCGTCGTCGAGACGAGAGAAGCAGCGCTGTGTGGCGTGCGGTCGTCCACACTGCTGACCAGTGCGGTCACCAGTGCGAATGACGTACGTGCAGCTAAGACCACCCCCACCCCCATGCTGAGAGTACCACTCACGGACCTCCTGGGGCGAGGGAGTGTGCTGCTGGCCCTGGCCACCGCCAGTGCCTCCACGGCCACCACCACCGCTGCCACCTCCTCGACCACCCCAACCCCTGCCGCCACCTCGTCCACCGCCACCCCAACCGCTGCCTCCACTCCTGCCACCTCCCCCGCCGCTGCCGCCACCACCCCCACCGCTACCACTCGCCCCTCCAGCCGAGCCACCACCCCCACCGCCTCCACCGCCCCCACCGCCGCCTCCCCCGCCGTCACCGCCACCACCCTTGCCCCCTTTGCCCTTGCCGCTGCGGCGTCCGCTCGAGGTAGACGCAGCGCCGACCTTCTCAGTACCAAGAAGGTCGACAGCAGCAGCAGAGGCGATAGAGGGAAGAAGGGGGGAAGGAGAACACCCCTCAAAGAACGGGGTACGGGGGTCGCCACGAGAGGCACCTACAGCGACTATGCTAGTCTCAGCTGCAAGTAGCTCCTTCTCGAGGAGGGCAATGGTGAGCTCAGTGGGGCAACGAGCTAGGAAGTGGTCCCTGACAGCACGCAGTGTGTCAGGGAGGCGGGTGACTAGGTGGTAGAGAGTGAGCCAGAGTGGAGGGGGGTGCGTGGCAAGGAACTCAGCATGCATGGCGGCACGGAAGCGGGCCTCACTAGTACGGAGGTGCGTGATGAGGTCAGCGACTGTGTGAAAGGAGGCCAGGTCGGGAAACAGGTAGGGGAGGGAGAGACGGCCTAGTGCGGCAGAGGCAGGTGAGGAGTAGCGAGCAACTACAGCTGTGTACAGTGCCTGTGCAGTCTTGTGCTGACCAAAGTGCTCGCGTTCGTCTATCGGCAGGGAGTTGCGAATGGCGAAGCGAGCGTGGGCATCACGAGTCTGCCATTGTGAGCGAGCAGTGCTGTCAGCAGTAGCAGCAGGGGCAGTGACATGGCCTAGGGCGTGATCGTACAGTGAGATGTCATCCTTGGCTGTGAGCTGTAGGTAGAGGTGCAGGTCATCGAGCCAGGTGTCAAAGGGCGGCCCTCAGCATCGAACACGAGAACCTGTGGGCTAGCCATAGGAACAGTAGAAATAGCAGCAGTAGCAGTAGGAGAAGCAGGTAGGACGAACCAGGTAGGGCAGGGCGGCGCGGCTCGGTTGGGTGGCGCGGCTCGGTTCAGGGCGCGCGGCTCGGCTCGGGGCGCGCGGCTCGGGTCACGGCGGGGACGGGCCGCCCGCTCTCCCTCGTGTGCTGCGGCGGGAACGGGCCGCCCGGGGCCTCTAGGTGGTGGGCACGGGTCGGTTGGGGCCCTAGAGGGGCGAGCGCGGGGCCGAACGGGGCCTGAGCGGGGCTAGCGCGGGGCCAAACGGGGCCTTGACGGGGCTAGCGCGGGGCCGACGGGGCCTGAAACGGGGCCAACGGGGCCTGAAACGGGGCTAGCGCGGGCCCGATCGGGGCCTGAATGGGGCTAGCGCGGGGCCGACGGGGCCTGAAACGGGGCTAGCGCGGGCCGACGGGGCCTGAGAGGGGCTAGCGCGGGGCCGACGGGGCCTGAAACGGGGCCAACGGGGCCTGAAACGGGGCTAGCGCGGGCCGACGGGGCCTGAGAGGGGCTAGCGCGGGGCCGACGGGGCCTGAAACAGGGCCGACGGAGCCTGAACGGGGCTAGCGCGGGGCCTGAACGGTGCCTTAAAGGGGCCGACGGGGCCTGAACGGGGCCGCTAGGGAGAGCGGGCGTGGGGCCAACGGGGCCTGAACGGGGCTAGCGCGGGGCCGTCAAGAGGGGCCTCTAGGGGCGTGACACGCCGAGGCGCCCTAGGGCACAGGTAGGTAGGTAGGTAGGTAGTTACGTAGTGGTGGGCCCTTAGAAAATTTCGGTCCTAGGAAGGACCTGCTCTATACCATGTTGGAATCACTGAACAGGAATGGATGAACTAGCAGTGAAATGAGTACAAGTACCTAACCCTAGAATTGTGTACCCCCTATAGGCTAACCCACTGTAGCCTAAACTAACACAACATATATAATGTTTGACACTGCCTCGGTCCGAGCGCCATGCCGGCCGAGGCGTTCGTGGGGATTGACGACAATCAGCCCACGTGCGCTGAGCCCGGCGAGGATCCACTTGCGCGGGAGCCGCTGCCACGCGATGCGGCAGTTATGTGGGAGGCGCCGGCGAACATGCAGCAGGTGTACGATGATAGCAACCCCGCCTCCCACGAGGCTCATCGTACCGCGCGCGCGGCGTGCGAGATGCTGTTCGGGTACGTGCGGGCGACGTGCATCTCGCCGCGCGACCTGTACGCCCTTTTCGACATTCGAAACCCCATCGTTGTTGCGCGCATGGAGCGCGCGAGCCCCGCCCTTGATCACAACAACGCCCCTCCTCCTGCTGTGACTCATGCGGACACCCCCTCGCCAGAGACCCCTCGTCGCCGCGGCAGGGTGCTCCCGGCGTGGATGCACGTGCCCACCCCGGACAGGGTGGCTCAGACGGCCCGCCACCAGGAGCTCATTGACGCCGGTGCTCCCGCCATTATGAGCGGGTACCTGGCGGCAGCAGAGTGGATGCGGCTGTGAGGCGGGACTTTGCTCCCTTGGAGGCATGAATTTGCCTCATCGAATGTGTGTTGTGCACCCCTTGTGCACATATGCTATGCATTGTATCAATGTCGAGGATATTTGTGGGGAGGGGGGGTTGGGTACAGGTGGTGCGTTGTTATTGGGTGGGTTTGACAATGTTATGTTTGTGACTGGTGGGAATGTGGAATGAAATGGTTTGTGTTTGAGTTGGGCGAAAATCATGGTAACCCAGCGTACGATAGCCCAACAACGAACGCCGCCCCAGCACTGTTGGGGAAGAAACAAGCATGTTACAACATGTGCCAGATATAGTCACGTCTTACCTGTGACGAACCTTAACAAAGTGGGCGAACTGCAAAAGTCGTTTATAAGCCCAGAGCACAAGGGGACCTTGGGGGACTAAAACGTGCATCAGGTGTATGTAGTTGACCTGTTTTGAATGGTGCTACTCTGTTCAGCTCACCTACAGTTGTCGTTCAAGATGGACGCTAGTGACCTTGTTCATTGAAGGGGGCGGCATGGTGGAAGGGTTTGAACGGCCTGCTTCCAGCCCCGGACAGGCTGGCGAGCTCGGTTCCGGGCGGTTGAGTGCAGCACGTGTGGCCCTCGCGTGCAGGGGGCTCGGAGCCCAGTAGCGCTGCCGAGGCCGCTACCGTGACACTACCGATTTCAGAAGTGAAATGTATTGGAAGGGTTTGAACGGATGTAATTTTGAGCTGGCGAGCAATACCATGCGCGGAGAACGTGTGGTGTGATTTTTGAAGAAACCGTCGACTGTTGCCATGAGCCATGAAACAGCAAACCCACAGATCTGGCGCCCGAATTTTGAGCTCGCGAATTTTATTCGTCCCCGTTGTTACACTGGGGTTGACGAATTTTTGTTTTGTGTCAGCAATGGGGCTGTGTCATTGGCTGCTCATCATGATTTGCCGAACCCTGCCGTATCAAAGCAGCCAGCCAAGCTAAACTCTACGTATACACCCTCTTTCTCGCCATTGTGAATTCGGTTATAGTGAAGTCAAGATGGGAAAAGCACGGTTAACGGTGGTTAGATTAAGTCTAGGTATGGTTCAATCAGACAAATCGAAGGTAACTAGGTTTTCCATCAGTTCAGCACAGTTCAGTGTAGTGAGAAAGAGGGTGTAGTCGCCAGTGAGTGTGTACAGACTTGCATACCACTAGCAGTGAAGGACAATCCTGACATGACACGACGAGATGACCACCACCTTTTCAACAACAGCAACATGCCTCCCCGGGTTGATGCCTCCCTGACTGGATGCATGCCCGACTGGGGTTTATTTGTTTTGCCCGCGGGCAGCGAGCTCCGCTGGGCGAGGACCTGAACGCGCTGAGATTTTTTCGGCCGAGTGAGGGACGTTGATTGTTTGGCACGGCGCAGCCAGAGCCAGTGCCCGATGGTGGATGCAACGTTAGGCGTTGTTGTCCTTGTACAGTATACAGTACACGTAGCTGCCTTCCGAGAATATCGGCTTGGTAGCACCCTCTTCATCAGTGCACTGCTTCAGCACAATTAGGGCGTGTTCAATCGCAAACTCCAGAAATTCTGCCACATCCGTCGGGCCGCTTTTGTGAATGTAACCAGTTTTTGACAATCACAAGTCAAGTGGCGACCGTCGCAAATGTCGTAAAAAAATATCGAACTTGATGGGCGTTTAAAAAGTCTACACGAAAATGACGCCGAGTCAACTCCAAAACGGCGAAGTTGTCGACACAGTGTACGACAAACGCCTACGACGTCGCATGGTTTCGCCCAACGACAGAATTTGTGATCGCGTCAAATGAGAAACATCGCCGTCAAAAGTGCGACCCCGTCGCACATACCAAACAACTGTAGTAACTGCAAATTTAACACCTTTTCCGAACCAGCCTGCAATTCGGCCACCAAAGATGTTAAATTACCAAAACTGTAAATTTTGGCTGTTAAAGAGTCGACTCTGATTCGGCCACCTCGTCGTTGTTCGCGAGAAATATGACGACCATTTGGTCGTCGAAAATTCGGCCAAACCCCATTTTGGGAATTGTGTGGCGAGTTAGCACGCCCTTATCTTTGGTACAACGCCATCTGAAGCGGTAACAAGTGGCGGATGTCGTTCAGGTTTTTTTCAACCCTACTGAACCACGCATAGGCGAGCAACGTGTGCACAAAATCTACCACGATTTTCCTAGCAACCATTGTCTCTCCATACCACTTACGCTAGTAATGCCTCGATCACCCAGTTTGTGGCGTCGCAGTCTGACCCTTAGTAATCGTCATCAAGAAACGTCTAGCCCGAGAAATGCGACTTTTTAGTAGAAGACATCGACACTCGCGATGCAGTGGACTTGACCGATGACTACGCCGTACCCTGCGCCAGCGGCGCCGACAACGACAACCCTGTTAAGAATGAAGCGGAAAAACGTAGATGAGAATAAAACGGATCATCACACAGACCTTTCTCTCAAAGCGCCGAACTCTGTTGCGACATTTCGTGGCGACACGGCTCGACCTGACGGCGCTGCTAACTTCGCAGTGAAGCCAAAATCGCCATCTCATCGCACTTCTCCCCATTTCTCTGCATCGTACTATAGCACGGGCACTGGAAGCGGAAGCAGCATAAGGAATTGCGGCGCGGGCCGACGGTCCTCGAAAGGCGCCGGCGGAAGCAGCGGCGGCGATAGTACAACCACTAGCGAGGCGATTCGTCAAGCCGAGGGAAAAAAGCTGCGTGCTGCACTCGTGCCAACTTGTTTACCAGAGGATGGTTATTCCTGGCTAAAATATGGCGAGAAACCGCTCATGAACCAGCCCAATTGCCTGCGGTAAGTGCCCAGTCTGCAATCATGCAAAAATACTATGTTGATAATTTCATTCTCTGGAAAGTTACCAACAATCATCTCAGGTGTACTGAATGCCTCCCTTGATTCAGGTCATACTTCCGCTGCGCGGGTTCGGGCACGGCAGGAGCAGAGCCTTGCCGTGCGAAACGAACCGTCGATTGGCGAGTCGACACGCAACCGGCGAGTTTCCATGTTTCTTTCACCGGCGAACACAATCACAGCCCGCCGGAGCACAACCCCTCGTCAGCTTTCCCCACGACTCCCACCGCCGGCGTTTCTGCTGCCCCGGAATCAAGTGTTAGCGAAACGGGTGGTCTGTTACGGGCGAATCCGGCGACTGGTGTGTCGACAAGTTTTTTGGGGCACAGCGATAAAGGAGTGACCCCTGTTTCCCGTCGCAAGCCGAACCACGGGTTTCGGAAACTTCCGATGGTTGCGATGGCGCTCGCTAAGCCTGTCGCAGCTGCGAATGTTTCGAGCACGAAGACGAGAGCTGTGGCTGGCGACACTCCTGACGATGATTCTGATACCTCCGGAGTTGCTGGTTACCGGCCAAGAAACTACACTGACAGCAAGCAAAATCCCTACACCTACATTTCCAACCAAAACCGTAAAATCGCTCCATCCAAAATAATATCTAAACTTCCTAACTCCTCCGCTTCATTGACATTTTCTGGTGTCCCTCCTGCCGGACAGTATTGCATGAAAAACGATGGACAGCAGCAGCTGTATACTACATCTAGCCAGCAATCTCAGCACCAGACTAAGCCTGAGCAACAGCAATCCAGCCAATGCATACAGGCACAGACTCAAAACCAATTGGAGCCACACCATCGTTCAAGCTCTCGCTCTCCTGCTGCGCCATCCGAGTCCGAATCACCGGGTTTCGAAGCTAAGCATTTTCCAGCAGCTCCTCGGTGTTTCGAAGCTGCCACGCCAGTAGAATTGCCACCACCAGCACCAACAGCAGCCTACATTCCTGTTCAAGCAGAGATTCTTATTCTTCCTATCCCAAAGCCTGCTTCTCCTCAGCAGCCGGCTGCTTCAGCATCTGCTGTCTTCTCATCTCCCCAGTCATCCCGTGTACAAGCAACCTGTAAACAGCCTCATCCTCACCACCATTCTCCTCTTCACTCTCCTCTTCCTCACTCACCCACTGCTGCTGTTCCCCCTGATCTCACCACCTCTGCAGTTTGTTCCTGCACCTCCCAATGTTTGGAATCAGGGTTGCATCAGTACCAGCCAACTTACCAAGCTCAGTACCCTTCCCTGCAACAGCTGCAGCAGCAGCATCCGTTCAAGCCACCTTACCATGCTCTAAAGCATCAGCAGCAGCAACTTCAACCACGTTACAAGGCCTATCAGCAGCATCAACATCAGCACCAGCATGAGAACCTGCAACAAGGGTTCCAACCACCTTACCAGGCTCATCTACCATCCCAGCAACAGCAGCAGCAACAGCAACAGCAACAGCAGCAACAGCAGCAACAGCAACAGCAGCAGCAGCAGCAGCAGCAGCAGCAGCAGCAACTTCAACCACGTTACCAGGCCTATCAGCAGCATCAACATCAGCACCAGCATGAGCACCTGCAACAAGGGTTCCAACCACCTTACCAGGCTCATCTACCATCCCA